TCACTAAAATTTCCACAAGAAAAAAGGACTTTTTGGTAATTGCTGTGGCATATATAACTTTGAAACAGCAGCAACAACAACCAAAAAAAATATACGTGCAGGTATATATGTAGACGTATATGTGTATAGGTACATATATGTGTGTATAGGTGTATGCATAGGTATAGGTGTTTATATACGCGTGTATGTGACTGTATGCACATATATTCATATATGTAATAAAGCACATATAGGGTACAGTTACTGATACTTCTTAGACATAACCAAACACCTCATGGGATTAGTTTCCTTGGTTTGAAGGTGTTCCGTAGTCTTGTGGAATATCTTGGTCAGTTGGCATAATATAGTTTATAAAGTTTATGTTCTGCTTCCTAGTTCGATGAGTAATTTCTGGGGTCTTACAAGCTTGCGAGTGGCCATCTAAGATACAACAGTTGGTCTCTGCTTATCCGGAGCAAAAGAGAAAGAAGGAAACCAAAGACTCAAAGAAGAAACTAGACCACAGGACTAATAGCCCACATGAACCACGGCCTCATCTACCTTGAAACCAGAAGAACTAGATGGTGCCCAGCTACCAGTACTGGCAGTTCTGATCAGGGCAACAATAGATGGACCCTGATACAATGTGAGAAAAATGGGGAACAGAACCTCAAATTACTAAAACAAGACAAAAAAACCAGACTTCCTGAAGCGGTTGAGACTGGAGGACTCCCCGAGGCTATTGCCTTGAGGTATTCTTCAAACCTTGAACAGAAACTAGTCCCTGAGGTTACCTTTTAGCTAAGTAACAGAGTGGGTCACAAAATAAGGAGTATCACCCGTGAGTACTATGCTCCTTTAAAAAATCATCTATATGAGACCAAATGGTCAACAATAACTTTAAAACAAAGATGAGAAGGTAAGGGGGGCAGGCTATCTAGACCTTTTCGTTACCAAATTTTTATTAAAAAAATTTTTTTTGATGGCATGTGTTTTCATGCTTTACTAATCGAGTGTGTTTAAATTTTTTGGTTGATAATATGGGTTTTGAGAAATATAATCTAGCAAGACAATCCACCAATGAGGTGAGTGGCACTTTGGCGCCGCTGATCTGTGGCATGACAGTGTGCCGCTGAGAACTAGGTAGATAATTTATTGCTGGCACCTTTCCATTGAGTTAGAGGGGAAACCTCTGGTTTTCCAAATAGGACACAGAAAAACTGAAACAAACCCATCAGGACTCCTAACTGTCACCCAGGAAAGCCATAATTATGCTTGCAAACCATATCTCACAGAAATAAAGGAAAAAAGGGCAAAAGTTTACAAAAGTCTGTAAAACTAACACACCCAGGAAGCATCACCTGATAGAATGCTCAACCTACACAACAATGAACCCCGTACTCTGGTCTGCTGAGCTTCCGGCATTTCAGAAGGGACCCACCTTGATGCAAAATGCCTTGTCCAGGTCCAGAGGCATAAAATGTGCCTGACATACCGTTTAGGCTAGTGGTAATGAAAGAGTTTTAATAGGAACGGAGCAGCCAGAGTGGAAATATTGAGAATGTTCACGCATTGTGAAGAATGTAAATGATGTCACTAAACACCTTGTGTAGAAATTGTTGAATGGAAGCCTAAACTGCTGTGTAAACCTTCACGGAAAACACAATAAAATATTATTTAAAAAAAAAAGTGGATGTCCAACTAGATTTATTAAAAGAGATGGCTGACTAAGTAGCTACACGCTTGGACTTCAGAGAAAATACTGCACAGTATTTGTCTTTTAGAATGTTTGCCGAGCATCTCATTTCAGTGGGCAGAGTTACTCAGCTGGCACACTGGTAGTTTTGTGAATTTCACTTTTTGGATCTTGGGAGAGAAGAGGCTAGAGATACAATTGGCCATAAAAACAAACACAGTGGTCCCCCATTACCCATGCTCTCCCTTTCTGCGGTTTCAGTTACCCGCGGTCAATCTCAGTAGGCAGTGCCTGTGTTCCAGTAACCCTTATTTTACTTAATACTGGCCCCAAAGTGCAAGAGTAGTGTTGCTGGCAATTCAGAGATGCCAAAGGGAAGCCGTAAAGTGCTGCTATTTTATTATTATTGTTGGTAATCTCTTACTGTGCCTAATTTATAAATTACACTTTATCATAGTTATGTATGTATAGGAAAAAACAGTATATATGGGGTTCAGTACTATCCGCGGTTTCAGGCATCCACTGGCGGGTCTCAGAATGTATCCCTTGTGGATAAGGGGAGACTGCTGTAGTTACAAGTCTGTTTTAACAGTGCTGCCTTGTTTACCCACTTTTTGCCTATCTGGATTTCTGAAACTGGATTCCTTGGCTCTGTGAACTAGTTAGCACAAGAGCACTCTTTTGTTTTAGGTGCTTGGAATTGTAAGTATGTGGAAAGTGCGCAATCGTGTATATCTTAGATGCATGAGTGCCGTCTGTTACTGGTGTGGTGTAAAGGGATTAATAATGAGAAGTGAGTTGGGAATGGTTTATCGGTGGAAGTATCTGGAATTGGTTCTTAGTTCTGTTTGTGTCACGGGCATTTCAGAGTGAAGAGGTTACATAAATCAAAAGGCTGTTGTTATTCTTTACCCAGAAGTCTGCTAGTCACAGTGCTAACATTTTTTTGTTTGTAAAGCAAAGGGGCAAAGACTTTTTCATTTAATGGCGAGGACCTTGTTTAAGAGAAAGATCTGATTTTACCCTGCAGACTTTTTCAGAGACTACTATTTCAGAGTAGTATCTATTTTGTAAAATTTAGGTAACCTATTAAAAAATGGGCAAAGGAAATGAACAGACACTTCACCAAAGAAGACATTCAAGTGGCCAACAGACACATGAGGAAATGCTCGCGATCACTAGCCTTTAGAGAAATGCAAATTAAAACCACAATGAGATACCATCTCACCCCGGCATTACTGGCACAAATCAAAAATACTGG